TCCATTTCCATATTTTCATCGATATCACCATTTCCTCTTGAATCGTCCTCATCGTTTTCGAATCGCCCGGTACTTGGTTCACCAAAAGTCACATCCACATCCTCCATACTTATCGATGGTTCTTGTTTACACGACACAGCAGACAAATTTGGTGCCATTAATTCCTCATCTGAATCGCATTCATTTTCATCATGATTTGGGGCAGCCATACTCCTGGAGACGTTATAATTCGTGAGGTTAATTTCAGAATGTAGTCATTGAATAAGGCCGGATCGAATGGTGTTCTTGGTTCTTCAAGTTCAAATGATCCATACTTTTCGCGAAGATTCTTGATATACTGTTCCGCTTCCTGGATGGAAAAATTGATGAAAGAACTTAATTTAATCGATTTAAGTTGCGATAGTTTTTTTTTGAATTCACTCTGAACATCGTTTTACCTCAAGCGCTAATTTGTATTTCGCATCGTTTACTTTCGCGTTTTGAGCCTTCCCTGGGCTTTTCTCAGAGTATAAAAAGCATTTATCGGTGGGTACATTATCATTTATACGATCGTTGCCAAAGTACCGAACGTGGACAGTTTGCCCATCGACTGACATCAGTTTCGCCGGCCAATATCGCGTATTCTTTCCATGCGCCCAAATTATGAGATGAGGCATATTACAAACCATCGTAAACCTAAAAAATATTATCAATAAATACAAAAATTATAAATCAAATAAATAATTGTAATTATAATCACCAACGGGGTCGTGTGTCTTTTTGATTCGCATTAATATGACACTCCACACACTTTTTTACACTTTCAATTTCAGCCGAAACGGATTTTAGTAGTTTTTTCGCGCATGTCATCTTATAGTGATTATCTGTGAATTGGAAATTAATAAATAGATTGAGATATTAGGAGTAGAGGTCACTGAGTAGATTCCTGTTATCACAAGAAAATCACTCAGAAACTTGTGTTTTTTCTTAACCCATTTTCTATCGGGTGTTTGATTTCCCATGCAAAATGTTTGATTTTTCAATTATCTAATGGAAAATCCACTAAGTAACCATTCAATTCAAATTTCAACTGAAACTCACCTCCAAAAAATATGCCACAGTTATGAACAAACCACTGGACGTCTGCATAAAATTCGTCGAGGCTGGTATATGAATTGGCTTTTGCTCGTATTTTCGGCAGATCAATCGGATTCAAAATATCATCACTAGCGCAAAAAATATCTTCTGCTACATTTGCAACCAATTTCATTCGTTTTGCACCTCGATTCTTTTTCTTATTCAAGCCTACATATTCCGACTTCCACACTCGATGAATAATGATTGGTATACGTTTCAACTCAATTTTCCTAGAAAATATTGGAAAATTGAATTATTGAAGTTGCTTGAAAATGCATTTTTTTGGGCATTTATCTGTGGTTACATTATCGTGTCTTACGTATTTTTGGACGTTTTCAATTTATTACAGACGAAGCAGCACCAATTATCGGCAGCATCAATAGGAAGTTTAACGTCTACACCATTTTCATTTGTCATACAACCAATGTGGAATGATCGAATGCATGTTGAACATTTCAAAGTGGTTTCCTTCCCGCAACACTTCCAACAATATGCATCATGTTTTTTATCCTGAAATTAGAGTTCATTTTGTGTCAATTTATGTTTTCAAAAGTCAATAATCGATTATCTTCTGTTTCTAATTGATAAGGGTACTATTTCCAAGGCACACGATATGGAATATGCATGCACGATGATTGAAATTGTGAGCCTTGGAAATAATGGCTAAAATAATGAACAGTATTTTGATACATACCATTTGATTTGCTGAATGAAATTCCATATCGATTGGGCAGTTGATAACTTCAAAGGTATACAAAATTGTGAACGTTGATACTTATTTTAAAATGACCCAATAGATTCACATAATCACATATTATTCGTCTGGTTTGTGTTCTGGATAATTTTTAAAAGCAAAATTATTTGATGCACGCGTGTAAAATATATTGAATTTAGTTGATATTTGTATATGAACCACTCCAACTCACAAACAAACGTACAATAAATACATATAACAATACGATTGAGTCATAGGAGTTTGTATGCGGATGTGACTTTGCCGCAGTGCCATGCGCACTGCGCACTAGCACACATTGTGTACACCGTATACATGGTAAAGCGCTCGTTCGTACGCTCAGTGTCTTGCTCAACGGGCTACTCGATCAATTGAGCACGTATGCTGGTATGCATGTCAACGTTGAACGCATCATTTTCAATATTTATCATCACCCATGTATTGTACGTCTATGTATTGGTGTGGATCAGTCACACACACTATTTTTTGTTCCATAATTTGCTTTTTTAGCTCATTCCAAACTCAAATACAGGCCGATATTTGAGTATTCATGTAAAAATTTGATGATTTTCATTTTTTTAACACAAAATGCATATATGCAAATATATATATTTGCAAATCGAAATTATCTAGACTAAATGTTGTTGAAACTAACTCGATACTACCTGCGGTTGCAAACTAAATGTTTTTTAGGCAATTGAAACATGAAAAACGGTCGTTAAATTAGTCGAAATGGTCTATTAAGTTAACAGAATATATGTTTTCATAGTAACATCCGCACATTGTTAGGAAATAATGCCAAAGAGCGCAAAGATTAAAAACAAAACAGGGATTAGTTAAAGTTGCAGTCTGAAATGCATGGCTTTTGGTGCTAAGAAAACTGTAACGGTAATCCCTATGGTATGGTAAAAAAAGTAAAACTCCAATAAAAAAAACATCAGGGAATTTTTTTCTTTACACTTTTTTCCTACGAATTTTAAACGAAGAATTTCAAGTTTTGTTGATAGAACAATGAAGATATTCTATTTTTTCCAAAGAGGTTTATGGCTTTGGCAATTTCAAATGGCAATAATAAAATGAGTTAACTGTAAAAGGTGTACGCACATTGAAACAAACTGGCCAAAGTGAATAACTAACTGTAACTTGAATACAGTGGCAGGCATGGACTGAAATAAGTCAGATCTTCCTCTTGTTTTTATGGTGAAATTTAATTGTATTCCCTTAAATGCAATGTAGCTTTTAGTTTTTTTTTAACATTAAATAACGGTTTCAAGTTGTTGAAAAAATTCAGAATTTACATCACTTTCTATTAAATAAAATTGAATTTTATTAAGAAGAGGAAGATCCGTATTATTTCAGTCACTGATGGTGAACCTCATGTTAGAACACTCTCAAAATATCTGTTCCCAATACATTGAATGCACAGCACAATGTTACTACTGTTGTAAAAACAACCCAAGCACTACTTTTATAATGCACCCAGTAAATTGATTGTATTTTTCAAAAAATTACACTTTCTTTTTAATCGATTCATGATTCTCACATTTTAATCGGCTCATGAGTATATTGACATTGATTTTTTTACGCGACGCTCTTTAATTAATCGTACACAAATCACTAAACAGTTTCATTCATATACTGTTTCGAGATAGATACCAGTGCGTGCAACGGGTAAAATGTTTTCGTCCTTTTAAACAAATAGTTCCGTATGCGTTCGCGTAAGCCCGCATTTGAATCAATACGAGTTTGCGCTGTCGTCAATATTTACCATGTATGCATCGCTAAGCTATATTGATAGCCGTGTGCGGCGACGATGTAAATAGTATCGCATATACTGGAACTGCGCAATGGGATTTTAAAATTCCGAGAATGATTTTAATTATTTTGAATGATTTTACGATCGCTACTTGATTCTGACTCTTCCTAGTGCGTTCGATAATTGTGTTAAGGAATGAAACCAAATGTTTCGCATGGAGACATGGAAATTATGTTATGAATCGAATCAAGTGTTATGTTATGCATTATGCAGCTCATCTAGCTACGAATATTTAACGATTTTTATTCGATTGCAAATTGTGTAATCACCTCCTGTGTTTAGGTGGCTATTGATCGGATATTCGAATTGATAAACACTTGTAAACACACACACATACACACCGTTGTGCACAATCTACTGAGCATTTATAAAGAAATCATCGACTCTTGAGCTAAAGTAGATTTACAAAATAAAGTATGAATGGTGAACAAATCGCCGTACAGCGTGTACACTCGCGATCGTATATTCAATTCTTGACCTTGAATACAACTGCATAAATGCGCGTGTGAAGTGCATACAATGTAATCAAATCGAATTCCACTTTACCGGCGCCGGAATTGTTATTTGTTGACGTTATGTTTTGAGTCGACACTATTCACACTGTACAGTGTACACATTCATTGACGTTCAAAATAAGCGTGGCTCATATATATGTATAGCGTCAATCATACAAATGACTATTCAATAGTTTTACTCTCGACTTAACGTACATCGAACTTGAACTGTAAGCCTTTATGTAACTTCAAACAGAAGATATGACTAGGGTGCAAACGCGATATTTCTCAGCACGTTACTTAGAAACGATTTTTTTTTATTGTTTTTTTAAGTATGTTCACAGAACCAATTGTTATTCTCAATTTTGTTGCTCGTTTCTTTTGAGGTTTGTTCGTTGTTGAAAATATACATATTGTGATGCCGCCTCATAAAAACCATTTTTTAATCTTCGTTTTGGGTTTTTTTACGAAATGCTTGTAAATGTTTGTTGTGACTATAGTAAATGTTGGCTGTTCTTATGTCCCCAGTCCATATGTAATACGAAATGGAGCTTCACACAATATGGATATATTTATCTATAGCATAGATTTAACACATGTATAAAATGTGTTGTTATCGCCATGTCCCGGCTTAATGACCGGTTTTCGTTGATATGCTTGATTTTATACTTTAGGAGCAAAATAATAAAAAAGCCGTTTTTTAGAATGTGGTCCATTATTTTATTGCCCAAGTTTATGTATACATTACATTTCTATAAATAACTCATTATAAGTGCGGCAGACGGAATTTTAGTAAACTGAATTAGTAACAGTGTCAAAAGTTTGAAATATTCTCTCCATAAAGAATGATGGTGATACAAAACAAACTTGATCATTGACTGACTTTGAAGATTTATCACCCGAAATCATACATTGTAATATTCGGTGAGTGCCACTAAAAAAATATCCACACTCGACTAGTGCTTGAGACGCATGGTCACTCATTTAGTGAGTGAGACGCATGCGGATGGGATGAAGCAAAGTGAAAGAGAAGCGCGCAACTAGATCATAGAGTCAATGGGTACTACGTGTATGTGTTTGTGTCCGTATTCTATCGACGGAGTGACGAAATGTATGCGCGCTATATCGTTCGTTCGTATGGAGTTGCCCGCTTCTCTTTCGCTTTGCTTCATCTCATCCGCGTGCGTCTCACTCACTAAATGAGTGACCATGCATCTCACGCACTAAATAAGTATGAATATTTTTTTTAGTGGCACTCACCGAATATTACCTATGTATGCCCTAAATACGCTCAGAGATATTCGTTATGACAGATTGAGGCATATATGCCTCTATATCCGATGGAGAGAACAAATGAGATAGAAAAAAAGAAATGAAATAAGAGAAATAACGGAAATGTTTTATCATGCTTGAAATATGCGAATTTTTGCACTCATTTCGTATAAGTTGAAACAATTTTATAGAATTTATTCATTAAAATAATGAAAGTGAAACCCTTCTGAGTGAACCAGTGCTGTGAATAAGCTAGAATAAAGCTGATCATTTTCGGTGAAATAACACTTTCGTGTCCTTTTTTACAAAACGATCAATTGACTTTCAACTTCAAGACATTGACTTGCATTTTTATACAAATTTCATAAGTTTTCTTCCAAATTAACGACACATTTCAATCTGTTTTAAGAAAATATCGCTCCTTAAATAGATAAGCGCTGAATCAACGGGGTTGAATGAACTCATCTGACATTGTTGGTTACCGGCAATGCTTGTATGAAAAACACACGAAAGCTGTGCTTCGTGAACATTTTCGAGCAATTTCTCTACATAAATTCACTTGAATGTATGATAACGTGGCAATCACCATTCAAAAATGTCCATCCAGGTTTGTATCTTTTTCCAAAGCGTCTAGTAGACACTGTATACTCTACAAGAGAATAAAGAGTACACTATTTCCGAATTCAAAACATTTTTTATAACATTTTAGATGGAAACACAAGACTACAACTGTAAAATTCAATAGGTGCCTTTCTGTTGAATTTCCAATTGTTTTGATGGTTTCCCTAGGCATGTTCTTGGGAATGACACCAACTCAAATTGTGTGCAATGAAACCAGTGAACGCCTTTGTACTTCATCTGATTGTATCCGAGCTGCATCTTATTTGTTAGAAAGTATGGACTTTCGAATCGACCCATGCGAGGATTTCTATGAGTTCACTTGTGGCAACTGGGCTAAATATCACACCCGGTATATTTTGCATCTGAAAATGACATTCGATATATCGAATTGTATACAACAGCGTTTCAAAAAATTTTGTTAATTGTAGATTAGATTCAGTTACCCGATGGAGTTGGTACGATATAATAACAAAACGAGTTGAGCATGCGATTAGAGCTTTTCTCAAATCAAAACCGGCCGCATATGAGTCAAAAGTCATTGGTCATTGTCGTACTATGTACGAGTCTTGTATGAAATTGAACACGAGTAAGTTGTCCATACGCAGTTTACCGATAAAAAAATAGATATTGTTGTAATTTTGTGATTTGATGTGTCATTTAAGGTGATGATCAAATGGAATCTGGAAGAAGGCGAGCCAAAGAATTGCTTAAAGAATATTGCTTCCCTTACATTCACAAAGAGGATCGTAATTGCACATTCGATTGGAAAGCAACCTTGGAAAAAGTATATACATTCCTCGGGCAACTCACATTCCGTTCAGTCAACATCTATTCACCTGGTATTCAGAAGAAAGTACAGCACTATATCGACTTTTTACAACCATACGAAACGATCGCAATTGATAGTATGGTCAAAATGATTCAAAATGCAACAACTAAATTATCCGAAGTACGTACTAGAAAACTCTAATTTCAGAGTCTGAAATGTTTTGGGACTTGAACATCAAAATTAATGCAGTTAAATAAGTGCAAAAAATAGTTTTATTATTTTAACCAACACAATGCCAGATATTCATCGTCGATATCATCATTATAAATATTTTAGATACGATTCAATCTCACTCAAATGAACGAAATAGATCCGAACGGCTTACAATCGTTCATCTGGTGGATGGTTATCGATAATTTAATCGGATCAATTCGTTTCAATTACAATATCTATTACCGCAATATCTCTATCAATCAATCGAATCAATGTGCACAACTTGTAAACGATCGTATGGGAATGTTTCTTGGCGAGGTGATTGCAATGCCAATCTTTCTCAACGAAACGAAACCAAAGCTGTTGAACAGTTTCGAAGAAATTCGTTCAGCATTCAATGAGTTGGTGGAAAATAGCGATTGGATGGACCAACCGACAAAAAGAGCTGTCATTGAAAAGTCTCAGGCCATGAAAGTGAATATTGGATTTGCAGAGTTTTTACTGAACAAAACCAAAGTCGATGAATATTTGAAGGATTTTAATTTTACCAATAGTTCGTTTTTAGTGAATGAACACAGTATGTGGAATATAGAAAATAGATTTAAGATAATTGGTAAAACCAATTGGGAGGTGCCGAACATGATGGCCACGGAGGTTAATGCCAAAAATTTCTTCACACTGAACAATTTAAGTAAAATTGTTTTAATTGCATCGAATTTGATTGAAAAATCTAATTGTTTGGATTTATTTTCAGTGATCGCAATGGGACACTTACAGTTTCCATTCTATGGTTTGGGTATAGAGTAAGTACTTACAAAGTATAAACTTTGAATGCGGATATAAAGCATGACAGAATTTAAAAATTTAACGGTTTTTCCAAATCCAATTTCATTTTGAGAGCACTGAACTATGGGGTCGCCATTTCAACTCTTGGTCATGAATTTGTACATGGATTCGGAAAGGTAAAAGATGGATGGACAAATCAAACGGAAAACGAGTATAGAAATCGAGCCAATTGCTTTCTTGAACAGTACAAAAACTTTGACATATCGGAAATTGACCAGGCTGTGAGTGATTCGAGTGACTTTCTTGGAGTTTCAAATTAATATATCAATTGCATTAAATGTTTCGATAATTTTGTTTCAGATCAATGGCACAGTAAATGGCACACGGACATTGGACGAGAATATAGCTGATACCGTTGGATTATTATTAGCTTACAAGGCGTACAAAATATTCATAAAAAAACATGGTGAAGAAGAAATATTGCCGGCTTTTCAAACATTTACACCAGAGCAATTATTTTTCATTGGATATGGGAATGTAAGAGCTTTCGATTGTGAAATGTGTGACTACCGTGTGTATTTATTTCAAATTTTCATTCATTTATTGGTTCTTAGAGCTATTGTGCATCGGCAACTCCGGAAGAATTGATGAGATCAAATGCGAATGATGAACACTCTCTAGAGAAATTTCGAGTGAATGGTGTTGTGTCAAATTTAGAAGAGTTCAGAGCGACTTTTAAATGTAAGGCCAACTCAAAAATGGTGTCGAAAAATCCGTGTCGCATCTGGTGATTGTAGAATTTTCGTATCAAATTTCATGTACTGATCGTTCCCTGTAAGAAAAATGTAATCGTTTTCTTATAAATATTGCATTCAAACATAGATTATATTGTAGCAAAGGATGCATGCAACAAATCCATTGAAAATTTTAAATGAAAATCAATAAATGACAATGAAAAAAAAAATTGACCGAAACAAATAAAAAATTCAAAACTTACCAGCAGGTTCGTTGGCAGTTGGCGCTGCAAACATAAAAGTCCAATGGTTTTGCGTTGCCACATCCCTCACAATATTTGTTCCTTTTAGCTGCTTCAATCAGCGCGGAATATTCTCGTACACATTTTTCTACAGTTTGAGTTTGTTTTTGCTCATTTTGTACGATTGATTCGTAGGCTTCTTTTAATTTCTGATTCTCCTCTCTCAATCTCGTAATTTCTTCTTCGTGTGTCTTTTTCAACGTTTCAATTTGTTTTTCCGTTTCGACCTTGAGTTTTTTATTTTTGGTCATCAACTTGGTATTAGTTGCTTTGAGTGTTCTAACAACCACTCCACGATTCTTCTCTGAACTTTTCAGACGATTTTCCAACTCTTGATAAATGCGATTAAAGCCTTTGGTGAAACGTTGCAAGGAATCACCATAATTTGACACATTTTTGGTCAAAACATCTGGAGTTGTTTTGGTTTCAAAATCATTATCAATTGCCGTTGAGTCATGCTTAGTTTCCATATCTTCAGTGGTGTCAAACATATCTTCAATGTTCACTTCATCGTTTTCCACTTGATCGCCACTTGGTTCAGCATATCCTTCAACTACTTGTTCAATCTTAAACGTTGGTCCCAATCCAGAAGAATTCCGTACGGTCGCAGCCGCATTGGATTGCATTGGACCATGTGATGTATTTCCATTTTCTTCACTGCTTGTCTCGAACAGTTTCCGATCCGAGGATTTTGTAGCTCCTGACATTAAATCCCGAATATAGTTATCGTGCTTAGCTGGATCGTATGGTGTTCTCGGTGTGGCAAATTGGAATCCTCCATATTTTTCACGAATGTTATTGATGTATAGATCTACTTCCTAGGAATTTGAGTGATTCAAACAAAACAAAACATATAAATATAATTCGATCGCGAAAAGTTTGTTTTTTGTTAAGAAAAAAAAAGTCCCACCGATACTAAGTTCTGTTGAAATTTAGTCGAACAAAGCGAAAAAAGATGCACCTAATTTACCTTCATTGCTGCTGAAAGTTCCTTTTTCATTCGTCCGTTTGATTTTAACTGTCGAACCACACCCGGGCTCCTCTCAGAGTATAAAAAGCATTTATCTGCCGGTACATTTTCGTGTTTGTGAAAACTGCCGAAGAAGCGAACGTTAACTTTTTGCCCATCCTCGATGCACATCATTTTCGCCGGCCAAAACGTTTTCAGATTATTTCGATACGCCCAAATGATGAGATGGGGCTGGTCACAAACCATTTGAAACCAACGTAATCGCGTTTGCTTTGTATTCGCATTGATATGACATTGCAGACACTTTTTCACACTGTCAATTTCGGCGCTAACCATTTTCAGGAGATCTTTTGCCCGTTTCGTCTTTTCATGATGCACTAAAAGGAGGCAGATTTTGAATTTAAAAAAATAATGTTGATCGAATCATTCTTAAACATGGGCTTTTTAACTTTGATTAAATATTCGACATAATAATGCAGATTGAAATTGTTTAGAATGAAACACACCTGTAAATAACACCTCACAATTATGCACAATCCACAGGATGTCCGTGAAAAATTCGTTGAGGCTTTTGTAAGAATGGGCCTTTTCTTGGATTTCCGATAGATCAATCGGATTCACAATCACTTCACTCGTCGAAAAGATATCGGTTTCGATTTTTACGAAGGATTTTCGCTTCATCCCTTTCACGAAAAGTTTCTTTTTATTTAAATCAACATATTCAGACTTCCAAACACGTTCCACAATGAACGGTATCCGGTCCAACTCCATTTTTCTAAAATAAAACAAATTGTTTTGATATGAAATTACGCTCAATATGTAACACTTGGCATGACATAATTTAAGGAATTTCGATTTTTGAGTATTGACAACTGCCATTTGATCTGGGGCGATTAAAGGTTCAAATATCCGAATACATGATGAAGCTTGGAATATCTAGTCTTAGTTTTAGTATATCAGACCGATGGATTTAATTGCCAAGTATTGGAAATTGCAATGGGTTTGTGGGCAGTAGGTTGTTGTTGTTGTAATCCTGACTGCCCACAAACCCATTGCAATTTCCAATACTTGGCAATTAAATCCATCGGTCTGATATACTAAAACTAAGACTAGATATTCCAAGCTTCGTCATGTATTCGGATATTTGAACCTTTAATCGCCCCAGATCAAATGGCAGTTGTCAATACTCAAAAATCGAAATTCCTTAAATTATGCCATGACACTTGGTGTAAAAACTTCTTGAGTTAAATTCATTTTGATTGTTCTTTGTGATTAGTGATTACTGATTATGCATAATATTCACCAATTCGAAAACAAGAAGAAAAAACTATATGGTCAGTGATCATTGATCACATTCTCAAACCAAGAAATTAAGAAAAAATGTCTTACTTATTCGTAGAAGTGTTGAGAACAATGCAAACGGGGCACAGCCATCCATCCAACCAACAAGGGGTCATATTGTCTACTGTGTTTTCATCTATCGTACATCCGACGTGGAATGATCGAACACACGTTGAACATTTCAAAGTGGTTTTCAATCCACAACACTCCCAACAATATGCATCATGTTTTTTCTCCTACGATTCAATTGTATCAAATTTTTCGATTAGATTTTTTTTAACTGTTTCATTTTTTTTTGCATTTTTCAAGCATCTCCAGCATTCACTATACACTAAAACAAAAAATATATGAATACATACCATTGCAAAATGAAGAGAAACTCAATGAAACGCTTATAAATCTGATATTAACTGTGGATGTCTGAAATGTAGGTCTTCTGACAATTGTTTTTTTTTTCAGAGCTAAATGTCGATGTTACTCTCTCGGTAACTCAATGCCAACTGAATGTTTAGAAATTGAGAGACTTAATACAGTTCAAATCAGATGCGAAAAGTTGACAACATTTCCATTGTCATACAAATAATTCTTAGCACCAATACATTGGTCCAAAAGTTGCCAAAAAAGAAGACAGAATGAAAAATAGACAATATTCGATGCAAGTATTTTATTGCTTCAAACCAATTTAGCTTTATGGCCCATGTGAGCCTATGTGAAGAGAAAAAAATCCTGACCGTAATTAAAACTATACAGGAAAATTTGATTTTGTTCCTTTACTCCTTCGTATCAACAAAGTCGTTCTTTTTATGACTCAAGAGGTGATTAGGACAACCCATGCGCATTCTATTCAATTTTATCTGCTCATTTGCTTTCATCCAGTGAAATGTTTGTTGTGATCTATTGACCTTCGTTTAAAACTGTTCTTTCGCCTTCATTTTCGAGAGCAAAAATAATATTATGACAATATGGAATGATCTTAGCAGAAAAAAACCAATACAACTTCTTCTTCGAATTGCAATGGCCAATCTAGTGTGAATGGTGCATTGCAATGTACGTTCGTAGCCATTTTTTTGTTTAACTCTACCTGGACCGTTAACGACATCTCCGTGTAAAGAAAAATGAGATTACAGAGACTAGACTTTTCGGCGCCCATACAAATCAGAGAAAGTCCATTAGTCATACAGCTATCTCCTTAGGTTCAACACTTTGCCTGAATATTGCAAACACTTTTCGTTTACGATTTCGAAGACATTCGTTCTGCATTCAATGAGTTGGAAAGAAATAGCGATTGGATGGATCAACCAACGAAAAGAGATATAATTGAAAAGTCTCTGGCTCTTAGGCTTAAACTTTACCGAAAAATCGTTGTTATTGAATGAACAATCATGTTTATTGAACATACTATTTGAAAAAGCGAAAATCAATTAGAGATAATTGGTAAAACCAATTGGGAGGTGCCAAATATAATGGACACGACGCTAAAACTAGCTACACACTAAAGAGTTTGAAAAAGAGTTTTTTTGTCCCAAAACATAAAATGCATTGATTTGTTTGATGATTTTATTTCAAATTAATGGTACAGTCAATGGTACACGGACATTGAACGAGAATGTAGCTAATAACGTTGGTTTATTATTAGCTTACACGGCGTACAAAAGGTTCATAGAGAAACATGGAAATGAAGAAAGAAAAAAATATTGTCTGCTTTTCAAATATTCACACATGAACAACTATTTTTCATTGGATATTATGCAATATAAAATGTACACTTTGGTGTGGGCGTAATTGAAAACTTTGAAACGTTGTTGATACATTTTTGTACCAAATTCGAAACTATTCTGTTATTGCCTTCGGTTTTGATGGGAATTTTATTGTTTGTTCTTTTTGATGGTTGTTTGGTTCAGTTAAAAGTTTTGTTGTTCCCATTCCCACTTATTAAACTACACCCATTTCCGTCTTTCTATCCTGCCGAGAGAAATAAATCATTCAAAGCTTTAGGTAAACGAAATTAGGTAAACACGAGTAAACACATGTGAATCAAGGTATAACGAAAGTTATAATGTTAGCGACAAAATCAGCGTTCAAATTAGAAAAAAATCAAACTTGATTAAGAACGATTACTTTTAAACAAATAGCATTGAAATATAAATCTAATTTTTCGGAAAATCCACAGTCTTTTTATATGAAAATAGTTTGACGTATGACTATTTTCAAAAATGAACACAATCCAGAGATCTAATTCCGCGAATCATCCGAAGGCTATATCTATGGGTGAGATTAAGAGTGGTGAATGTTTCACACACTTGGAAAAAGAACTTCTAAAAACATGCAAGTGCATGTTTAGAGAATAGAGAGTAAAGCTACTCTCAATCTCACCCTCTCAGATATTATTTTCAGTGTTCAATAAAAGTGCTTTTAGTCTGAGTTGGCTACATCAATTCATTTTCCCCTTCAAGTGCTCCAAATAGCAAGAAAACTGCTTGCGACACATGGATAATAATTATTATTATTCAACAATTGCCTTATGCAATAGAAATATCGGCATTATTAACTATTTCTTTTGTGAACTCAGTACGCTGTACTCAATACAAAATACTAAGAAGCATTTGTTCGAAAAAATGGCTACATACACACACAAAAGCAAGTAGTTAAACTTTATCGCAAGTCGGGATAAACCATGCATTTATAGGTGCTGACATCCACTTTTGGGATAAATTTCATCGCATTTGTATATGTCAACACCATTCAAACGTATATTTTATCCCGACTTGCGATGACGTTCAACTACTTTTGACAATTTACTTTTGTGTGTGTACAAATTTCCAATTGTTTCAAAGTTTTTATTTTCACTTTTGTTCTTTTATTTGGCCTAACTTTCGTTTTTTTCACCTTTCTTTCTTCATTTATTTCCAGTTCAAAACTTCATGAATAAACCATTCGGATTATTTTTATTGATATTCAAAACATAATTGAATTAATTGTATCAAATGATGTGATTTTTGCAGCCTAATTGAAAGTTTCAATTCTAAAAACTTCTCCAATGAAACTTTAAAATTACATTTCTTGATATGAGCGCATATTTGCTTATGATTTATCATTTAAACGATATATAAACTGAAATTCGTCCTATTTTCAAAGAAAATATTCAAAGACCTTTTATCCAGACAAAAATGAATTATAACACTTTTGCAATGAAGCTTTTTTACAACGATAATTCTATTCGATTTTCTTTTTTGTCAAAACAAAAATTCGAAATATTCATTGAACAAAAAATATTTTTGAAAAATAGCAAAATCTTTTCTTTCAAAATTTATCCCATCAATTAAATTTTGTGACTACAGTAGAAAAAAGCTTACGTTATTTCATTCATTTATGTATTATTCTGAATACCCAAAATTACTTTCGAAATTTAAACATTTATTTGTTTTTTTTTTTTAAATAAATTTCATCTCCTGATTACAAATTGTAGCAGTAAAAAAGTATAAAATATAAATTTCCTGATAAAAAAATTCCGAATTGACGTGCAAAAATCTTTCATTTAAAATATCTTAGCATTCATATACTTGAACTACAGCATGACTTTGTTTTTGGTAGAAAAATATGTCTTTTGGTAAAAAAAAATCTTAAACCACTATGTTCCTTGAACCGGTTCATCGTGGGCATGTTTGAGTGTAGAAACAGGATGCTTGATGTGACTCTAGTCAAATTTTCCGTGCGAATTATTTTGGTGTATCTCTAGAACTTTTTTTCGCTGTAAAAGAGAAAAATTTAAACGGGTTCGATAAAAAAAAGCATGAAAAAGTGAAAAAAAATTGAAAATCAATGAAAATTAAAGGAAAATGAATAAAAAATCTTTGTGAATAACGTTGATATTCAGGCATTGAACATCGAAAAATTGATAAGTTCAGAAAAAAAAGAGAAAAATGTTCCAAACATCAAACTCACCAGTATCGACGTTGACAATTCTTGTCGCAGACATAGAATAGGTCGAGTGGTTTTCCGACGCCACATGCGATGCAGTATGTTTTGCCTTTAGCATCTTCAATCAATGCTCCATACTCTTCTTTGCATTGTTTTCTGGCTTGTTCCACGGCTTGATTGCGTTCCTCATTTTTCTGTTCAATCAAATCGTAGTTGTCCATGAATAGTTTCGTTCTTTCGGCCTCCAAGTCGGCGATTTTCTTTTCGTATTCGGCTTTTTGCAATGCGATTTCATGGACATGCCTATTGTTGATGGATTGTAGTTCACATCTCAATTTTGATGCCCATTGTCGTTCTTGTTCCTCGGACAATTTCGCTAAGCGTGCAGATTGTTCTTGTTTCAGACTATTCTCTTTGAGACGATGTGCTTTTTCCATCAATTCCAGCTCATTTTTCATGTCTTTCTTTAGCTTCTCGATTTGATCAGCCAAGTATTCGTTTCGCTGTTCGAGTGTCTTGACTTCGTGCTCATGCTTCTCCTCCATGGCTCGAACATTTTGCTCGAGTTTAACATTCAATTCGAAAACTTGATCGAACACACCAGAAAAGGTTTTCATGCATTTGCCCAAGTTTTGCTTGTAAACAGACACATGCGGAGCGCCAACGACTGGTGAACTGTTATCAAAATCAAATTTGAATCTCTTTTCAGGTGAATGATCATATTCATGTGATGGGAAGTATACAGACTTTTTGGCACCGCCGGCTCGATTAGCAGATGCACCGTTCAGGTTGGTCAAGTCGAACGGGATGGATTGATCATAGCTCGCATACTGAGTCAATGATACATCGTCAGATACCTCTAGCACAGAATCGTCTTGCATGTGAATGCGATTGCCAAGCCCAGGAAAAATTATCTCCAAATGTTCGCTAAGGCTTTGCCAGTTGAACGGCGTTCTCAATGGCACACTTTCCAACAGAATATTCGTGAACACGCCGAACTTTTTGCACACATTTTTTATGTACGATTCGACCTCCTGGTGAAAGATAGGGTTTTATTAGTCGTGTTTCGATTTGTGATTAAACTAAACGCTAGTAATTGGATTTGAATTCTTTTCTCATAAGATCAGCAGTCATTGGATGTAATTAGTTCCAACTTCTAACTAGAAATGCCTCTAAAATTAGACTTTCTCTCTTAAAAATGTTCTTGACTTCATTAAATCTGCTTTCGAATCGATAAACCACTCAAAAATCTCATAATCCAAACAAAAAAGCCGAAAATCAATCCATACCTCCAATGCAACGGCAATGTCTCTCGGATCTGATGTCAGATTCACCGGATTCGGATTTTGTCCCGAGTACAAATAGCAAAAAGCGGTGTCTATTTGAGCCATTTCGTGATGCCCGAAGAAAACAACTTGCAGACTTCGATCTTCTTCAATGCCCAACAGTTTCGCAGGCCAAAAGTTGAATCCTTTGTCAGCGGGCCAAAAATCGAGGTGCTTGATGTCAACCCATAAGATTAAATGTGGCTGTTCGCATGGTCTGATCATCCAATCGCTGGGACTATTGTATTTGTGCTCGTAACAAGTGGCACAGCTCTTCATCGAGGACAATTCATCGGTGCAGAACTGAAGCAGCTTCGCTGCTGCAGCGGTGAATTTGTGATTTTCTGCGGAAATGAAAAAATGTTAGAATTTTTCGTAGTTAGAATAGAATTTTCATGACATTTTTCTATTGACTTTTTTTCGCAAAGTTTTCTTTTTAGTTTTTATTTTGATTTTTCTTTCAATAATTTTTCTTGAATCAAAAATTCATATTTTAAATTCTAGGCAAAAATCAGCTGAGTGATTGAATTGACCTAACGTCTTTAATATCATAAATTTATCGATTGTAAAGGTGACTTCATCGAAATAAAAAGGTGGGGACAAATTTTAAAAATTTATGAATTTCCAAACACATTTTGAACAAAATTGTGTGCCATTTCCATGAATTGTCATTCGATTGCCCGTCTCACTTACCAGAAAAGTAGACAAAACAATTATGGTGAATCCATTCGATGTCCGCAATACATGCCTCTAGGCTATTGTATGTATTCGACTGGATGTTAGCGTTGATCTCGTTCAAGTCAATCGGATTGATGATCTTTCTATTGTCGTTCGGTTCGAATTTCCAGCAGCCCATGTACTCAAACATTTTGAACTGAAAATGGAATGAGATTAGTTAGCCACATCATTGTGATAAAAATTGTTTTTTTAGGTGTGATTAAACGCAGAATGACCTATCCACACAACACACAAAATCACAATACGATTTGTTTCAGAGAGTCTTTGAATCAGATGCCACAAAAAGTCGCTGACTCTGGGAGCCGATTTGCCGACACTCAATTTGGTTGTGGTGCACGTAAGAGGTAGGCGGTATTTAACGAGACTTCCATGAAAAATCCAATTCAATACATTGTTGACCATGGTCAGAGTTACCTTTTGATTTCGCAAGACACGTCCCATCATGAATGCCAGCAATCGTATGTTTGGTGGTCTAAACAGAAAAAAATTGAAACAAATTTGAGGTTAGAAACAGTCAGAATTTGGCGACATCATCAGATCATCAATCTGTATGCCATTGGACCTTACTTCACCAAGCTGGCTTGCTGTGCTTCTTCCAATTTAATGCACATGGGGCATGTCCATCGGTCCATTGGATTCTCGAGACAATATTTGTGGAATGAACGACAACATTTTTTACAAACTGTCCGAATGTTTACTTTGATGTGACATTTCCAGCAGAATTTATCGTGGTTATCCTTGGAATCGGAGCAAAAATTGATAGTTAGAGCTTATGTGTTATGAATTTGTGGATGTTTAATTTGCGAATTAATCAATTCAATTGAATATTTTAATTAATCGGGACATTATTGAAATAACGACCGGAACAAGACAAAAGATGGGTTTTTGTGCTAAGTGACAACGTTCAACATGTTTCTCGTTGCACAATTGACTCGCTGAACAAACAAAATCGAATATTCTAATCGAAATTCACATATTTTTCTAAATTCTCTCCTAATTTCCATCTCCACTAACCTGATCGCACTGTAGACTTTGGGCATATCCTCGTTCCTTGTCCATGTTTCCCTCGGCGTTCGACGATATTGAGGTTAAGACGCTTTAGATTTGCAAGTCTACACTCAGTACACTTTTCAATCATCAATTCACGAGCAAAACTTCGTTTATTCAATTTTCACTTGATAATATTTATGTCAATTTCGCATCTAATGCACGATGGAAATATTTTAAACTGATTCACATAGAAATATTTCACATATTTTCAAGACGCAATTACTCTGGTTGAATCTGGTTGGCGTTCTAATTCAATACGCATACTTGATTGGTACACGAAATGTCAATCGATGCACAACGGAGTGATTGCCACGAAGTTGGCAATGGTAGATGGTTATTGACTTTTAGCGGTCGATTTAAACGTTCAACAAAATCTGGTGGAATTTTGCATTTTTTGCAAAGGAATATATTTCTAATTTGATTAACAAATTTATAATTGATAAAAATGGCATGAATTTTTTTTAAAAAAATGAATTGAAAAAAAAATTCGCTAGAATTTTCCGCCAAAACATGTTTTGGCTGACTTTATTCAACTTTTCTGTTTTTTTTTTTTTTCAGTGAAAATATCGCAAGAATTCTGATCTGAATAGAAAATTTGGTTATTTTTTCTGATTTGAAAATAGCCGTAACTTTTGATTCTCCTAATAAAATCGTTTTTGAAAAGAAAACCCAAGAAAACCGTACGTTTTGTGTATGTGTTTTGTTTGTTGTGAATATTTGGTCAGAGAGGCGATATTTCCGCGAAAAGTCAATGCAATTTGAAATAAAATTGATTGAATATCATTTTATTCTAATCAATTTGATATTTCAATCATTTATCCAATCAATTGATTCAATTTACGAACCAAATCTGGCGCTTCT